ATCTACATATCGTTCTATAATAAATTCATTCATTATGTTCCAAGTGTACTTGTTTCCATTCCGAATGGTAGATTAATGTAAGAATTACGTGCTTCAAGAAAAATAGATATATCAATAAACCAGCTTTGCGATAATGGCAGATCGCATTCTGTCACAAGAAGCACCCATGCTACAAAAAACGAGAACAATCTCATGAAACTCCACAAACTATCCTCTGAATGGTTCAAATGTCTGAAATTTATGAATTTTAGTAAGTACTGCAACTGTGTGTGCAAACAAACGTGTCCACAATTCTGAGCCCTTCATTGTGTGTTAATTGAAAGTGGTTAAACTCCAAAGTAGGATCATTAAGCAATGAAAGAGAATTTTGCAGATAACCGCTTGAAGTCATTCAAACCAAGCCGACAGTCGTTGGTTATTCAAGCAGCGACAATTGTATTAATTCGTCCACGTGGTATTTGATTGAAATACAAATACGAATTCATGAGGCTGACTTTCTCTGAAAGCGCGTCCTTTTGTTGTTGCGTTTTCAGCAATTTCAAGCCAATAGAGCACTGTTAAATGTGTAAATGTGTTGCATGCCTTCCAAATGTATTTCAGCATTTCCAATACAGCACATTTAATATCTACACTAAATCTTAGTTATCCTCTAAAATTCAATCAGCTGCAGACAAGTGAAACTAATCTCTGGAAAAAAGCCACAGAAGATCTTGTGTGGGGAAATTATTTGTTCAAAATTATTCGTTTTGTGATAAGAACTACCTCAAATCTGGTAGACTTGATCATCCCTGCAGGCCTACCCCGCCTCCTCGTAATGTGATCTGCTGTATGAGCGCTTTGTCCAGAAGGTTCAAGCCAGTGCGATTCTACAAAAACTTTTCAACTTCCTCATATCCTCGCCCATTGTAAAGATAAAAGCCGAGTAGCTTATGGGAATTATCTAATTGATTAAAGTCAGTTAGGACTCTCTCAGTTAGAGCTAGATAATTCATCTGCTTTCACTCATTCCAATTCCTTTAGGTGAATTTGAAAGTTGAAAAGAGCAAGCAGTTTTCAATTCACACACTATTGAACTTTACCACAAGAAAGTGACAAAATGTTACTTGTTCAGTCATATTTCGACATAGATTTCGTTCTTTCCTTCTGCCTTGGCAGAATCCTAGCTCCTAAACTGGCATCCACAACCCAGATCCCGGCTTTGCACGAATACTTGTTCTGGCAAAAAAGGTAAAAGTCAAATGAAGGGGGTCTATTTAAAATAACAATATTATGTTGGTTAACTCGAGTACATACATCAATAGCGTCTATGACGTGTTTGACAGCATCAGGCTTGGCAAGTACCACTACCGCTCCACCAAATCCCCCACCTGTCATTCGAGCTCCGTAGACACCCTCAACACTCATCGCAATATCTACCAATTCATCCACCTCCTTGCATGAAACCTCGTAGTCCTTCCTAAAGATAAGGGTAGCAATCATGCGACTGATGTGAATTGAGTAGTATGGATTTTATATGCAAGACTACCAACTTCAGAGACTCATGACTTTCACGCATGAGTTGACCCAGCTCCGTTAAATTCATCGTCTGCATAGCAGTACGAGCATCGACAACGCGTTGGTTTTCAGTCAGTACATGGTGAAGCCTATTAGCATGAGTTTTACTCAGGCTATCAGTGGCCTCTAAAAAATATCTATGATTGAACTTTCAATCGAATGTACCTTTACAAAGGTCCTCCAGTTTCGAAATTTTTATCTGAAGATCACGAAGACTCTTCACATCGAAGAATGTACAGAGTTCGTCGCATTCATTTCGACGAATTCGATACTGACCCGCAGCAATACGGTGATGGACTCCACTATTGACTATAATTACTTTGGCCACGCCGTCAAAGTTGGTTGTAATTGGTTCTATGTCGTTTGTGCTAGAAAAAAAAATGGATTTCGATCATGTTTAATTATTAGCAGCTGCTTCGTTAATAAGGCCTCTGATTAGGCTTGTATTCAACTACGTACCAAATTACCAGCTCATCGCAATATTCGCTGATCAGACACTCAAATGAAAATATTGTGGTAGATAATTCTAGCTAATTTTCAGATTGATGCAACGTTTTAAGAGAACTGTCGTGAACCTAAAGATTCCATAATGGAGCTTGGAGTGCATGGGCCCAATCTTAATTCCCTATAAAGTTAAGTTACTTCACTCCTCAGTTTGTAAGTAGTATTAATCTGACGTTAAATCATTTTGATAGCAATGAAGCACTTCAATGCTTCAAAAAAGTATACGCACCTACCAATTAAATCACCGAGTCCAACAGTTGGATGGAGAAGTCAGTCGTAGATATTGAAGGTGGGCAGGTTGCTGTAAACATGGATAGCAAGGAAACCCAACATTGCTTCAGAAATTTGACAAAAGGGCGAAGCGACACTCCTTCGAGCATCGAAAGTAAATAGTGTTACCTCGTTATCAACATGTCACTCTCATGTTATGCCCATAGTCTGTTATGGCATGGTAAATTAAAACATCATTTGTCGATTGGCACGTTTTCTGACCAATCACACTCCGAATATCGTTCACTGAAGACCAATGATTGGTTCGGTATTCTCTTTTAAGGCCAAACCTTGGCAAAGCCAATTTCATGAGTATAAACGGATTATGATTCACAGCAAAATATGAACTCTTGTTAGGTTAAAAATGGTTTGAAAAGCTTGCAAATGTACCATTCCGTTCATTACCATTTTTAATCTAAAAATCCTAATTTCTCAGTTTAAAAATTGTTGGCGTGCTGATAGGGTCATTCTAATAAACCGTATTGGTTTCAATTTTTAGTTGGTCTAGTAGTGCACTCTTTGAGATCCTCCTCTAAATGAGGTGCAAAATGATCTAAAATCACTTATAAAAGATGGGCAAATGGGTATTTCTCCGTTATTGGGGTCTGCAATAGACTGCATTTATTTAAAACAAAGGCTTACGAGACCACTTTTTAAAACGTCTCTTTTCCCTCCCCCACCCCAACCCCCATTTCATTACATCCATCTCCCACTTTCATTTAGGCTAATACTGATTTCTGAATTATTATCCAATTAAATGTCGATTAATTAACTGCTAATTTGTATAACTTGAATATAAGATCGAGACGGTGGTGTTCGTTGCCTACCATACCGTGAATTAAATGCGTTTTTCCACACTGGTTCTTCATTACATTTGTTAAGGTTTAGTTTCAGTATGAATAGTGTAAGCCTGAAAATGTTGGTGATACCCAATTTTGCCACTTGATCGATTTTGACCAATTTTCATTGGAAACACGCTTAACAGAACTAAAAGTGGCAAGGGTGAAAGAAACTACTAACTTTTCATTTGGGCGCAAGAAAAATATTTCTTTGATAATACTAGTACGTTTGTATAACATCCTGGATGTAGCTGTGTGGATTAATTTTCAAATACTAAATCAGAAATACTTCTCGAAAAAAAACAAGCCTAGTCTGATAAACTGTAACTTCAAAACCTTCACAGGTGTTCACTGTTGGCTGCAACGCCAGAAACAAAACTGAGTCGTATGAGAAATAATTTAAGCAAATTTAATTAAAAATTCAACTGATAAGTGCTATATTTTAAGGTATTTGGATTTAGTAAAATCTTTAATAAGAGAGAAATTACTTGCAATCGATGAAGAGAGCATGACCGGCAACACCTCCGAGAGAGGCAAGTTGATCCATCAGACCACATGGTGCATGGACCCATTCGCATTCAGCCTTCTGGCAGATCAGTGCGGCGTCTTGCACCTGGGAAAAAACGTAGTCATGGAGTTAAAATTTTTTAATTCAATTGAAGGAATTGAGGACAATGGTTGATTAAAGTAGGGAGAATTAAACAAAGAGATTGACTTCCATATCGCTGGATGTATACTTGTAGGCACTGGCAACGAGACCTTTATCGAACACAGCACTACCAGGAATTTTTCAGATACCCACATGTGGAATGCGATTACTTAAACGAAATTGGGTCTTAGGGAATTTTAACGTTTGAAGAAGGAGCTCACCGAAAGGGAATCAGAGTCAGCTAGTTTTTGACAAGTCAGCAGAGTGGCGACCTCCAGAGACGCCGAGCTTGAAAGTCCAACACCGATTGGAACGCTAGAGACGATAACCGCGTTGAAACCTGGAACTCGAGCACCAGCTTCTGCAAGAGAATTAATTTGGGATAACTTAAAATTGCATTAATCTTAGAATAACATTTTTAATCTATTTTATTTCATTAGGTTTAATCCAGGGTTTAGGAATACAAGTCTGTGCACTTGTAATCATTTCAACTATTCAAATTCTTCACTGTTCATTATTTGTCAGTTTCAATGAGCTGTAAATTACCAGTTACAGATATATATATATATATAAATGCACGAAACAGTGCGAATTTTTTCAATGTTCTTAATACTCCGCTTGCCCGGAGAAAAGAATGGCTAAAATTACACATTTTGAACCAGGAAGGAAATGCCTCTATGTGCTAATAATTATCCAATCTATGCCCTCCTGGACTTAATAACTTTGCTCTATGATATTATAGGTAATCACCAACTCTTGCACAAATAGTAACTCAACACGGTATTGATTATTTCTAGGTTGAAACAACTCAGTTGCTTGCCTTCGTATAACACGGATAGTCCATTCTATATCAGTCTATGTGATATAGCAACCTACCGTTTACTCTAAAAAGAGAAGGCATTTATAGAATGCCGTGTTCTCCCTCTACGTTTTATTAACCAAACCAATTCATTAAATGGGAATAAAAATTGTCATTATGGTGGATACAACCAAAAAATCAAAACACAGAGACCCAGTTTTTTTTCTTAGGCAAACGTTCGACCATCAGGAGCGATACACGCCTGCACATATCAATAAAGATGAATTGGCGACTTAGTGACGAACAGAACAAATTGACAATTTCTAGACATTACATAAACATCATAGCCATGCACTCTGTTTTGGCAAACTATTTGCATATTGACGTTAATTAGCTTCTCTCGACATCATTTGATAGTTAACATCTCTAGTCTCCTCGTTGGCGGTAGAGCTTACTTTTATAAAGTATACAAAAAAGGCTCTCTGCTTTATCAAAATAAAAATTAGGAATTTTCAATTTAAAATTACACTATAATCATAGTCATCAACAGCACAGTAAATAAAAACCCGCTCCACTCAAGAAATCAAAAAAATCAGACTCATAAGAATCGTCAAATTAGGAAAATGCTCACAGCGGCTGATAGATGGACTAACTTTGTTCGTTCTTAGACACACCCACTTTTCTCATGGATAGACGACAAATCGACTTTGGTCAGATCTGACAATTATTCAAGTTATTAAGTGAGGCTATTTAAAAATTAGACCCAAATTGGTACTTTCTTTCAAGTCCAATAAATAGCTGTTACTTCGCCGTGGTTTTGGATAGAGGTCTATGTGATTGGCAAACACTATAAAGTATGTAAAATTTGGAGAACAAAGGGAATAAATTAAATTAATTACCCATTACCAAGGAAGTGGGTAATATTGAAAAATATCTTCTTTGAAAGCAAGTATTAGACTTGCACCAATATAACTTCAACTGATAGCTCAAGATTAACTTGAAATTACTGGCATAGCCGATCAAATCTAATATGACCACTTTTGGAATGTTATTATGACTGAACTTGAGCGATTCGTGAATACCAAAAGCTTAACGAGTCCCAATTTCGCTGTTGTTTATCTAAATAGAGAGATGTGCTGGAGAGGAGGGTTATAGAAAAAAAAAACGAATTCTCTCATGGCCTTGGGGCGAGAACATCAGAGTAAATAGTGCGCTAATTTTCCCCGTTCGGACTTTATAAATATTAAAGGGTGTAAGATTCCTGATATTCTTAAGGAAAAAAGTTTATCGAATTTGCCATCTTTGGTTTAAAATGGCATTGGTATATCGAGTTGATAAGATAAATCATGGAACAAAATCGATTGGATAAAGAATTTAAGTAATGTGGACACAAACGCATCAAAAAAGGAATTCCGGTAATGAAATTTGTAGTACACAACTTGCATATAACTATGCGTCTAATGCGAGGAACGGACAACTCGCTGTTTTCAGAATTAAGGTAGCCTGACCACAGTATCCATTTATTTTACTGGAGCAGTCACATATTTCTTTATTCATTAACTTTCCCTTTATTGGAATTTATTTCCGTTGTAGCCTTTTCATTGACCTGTTGGTGAAATAATTTTGAACGAGAGATGTGGGCTTAGAAATCCCCTATGGAGATGTGAAGAATAGCTTGAAAAGTTTTTTTTTCTTCTTAACTCCATCACAAGAGAGAAGCTAAACAACTGATAGGATTTAGTCTTGGGATATGAGCATATTAAACTAATGAAGCACATCAAATGTAATACATTGACTCACTTTGCATGAAAGCGATAACACCCCGAATGTAGCCTGACCAGCGTTCTCCTTTAGTTAATTCCACTCTCTCTACGTGACCAACACTGAAGTTCACTGTAGAGCGTTCTTCCTCCTCTTTAGCCGTTGTATGGATACGACACATTCCAGAATTGTTCGGGCTTGAAACCATCACTGTTATCAATGGCAACGCCTAAAGTGGACACAAATAATGGTCAATTTTTTGTGGAAAATTTGTAAGAGATAGCATTTGGCTTGATTTTCAGCGGGTTCTTTTCATATTCCAGCTTACTTCATGGTCTTTAAATGAATTGGCACTTTAAACCATTATCGCAACAAATGCATCTTTTTAGGATTTATTTAGAAGCTTCGTGACAGGAATAGATAGTAAAGTGTGAAAAGATGGTTGTGGAGAGGTTGATATCCATGTGTTTTGTAAAGCTAGGACATCGAATTCTTCTAGAATATAACAAAACCGGAATTCATGAGGGGGCTCCGCTTATAGATTGCCTTGAAAATACTATTTTGTTACCGAAACCTCTTGTGCATGACCGCATGTCAATGGGAACTAATAGAAAAAAACATAAATAAAGTGCAAAAAAGTGCAAATACATCCGGACACGAAGAAATGCCCTATTTTGACGCTATTGTCACGAAGTGGATAGTCAACAATGTCGATTCCCGCCTGTAAGAACGTGAATCCCAACTTCATGATAATCCAAGCAAACTCAGTTGAACGGTAGGCTGCTTGCCACGCTATAGTACTATCAACGGGATCACCGTTCTTCAGGCAAAACAATACAAAATGGTTCCATGTAAGTGAAGAAGAAGTGGAGAAGTGATTGGGCGTTATCTACAGCAGTGATATCAAAAGAGGTCAGAATCTTTTCTAGAAACCCCGTGAGACAATAGTGAAAATTACAGCACACAATCCTCAAAGAGGAATGGTGAAGAATCAACATTGGTGACATCTAAATCTCCCATTCCTGTATATATTATAACCCATAGTTTTATTCTCGCTTATACAAATGGTAGGTATACTGCTTTGATTTACAAACGCTGATACAAGCATGACGATCTAAAAATGTCATCAAATGCAATTGTAAACTTGAGTGCTTTCAAACAATGTTCTTCAGGAACATATTTCTTCCTTTTAGTAGGTTAATGTTTCGACTGTAAGACTTAAGAGCAGCCATTCATCGTAGGCCAAAAAATCAAACTGATCAAAATTAAAATGTTAACGAAATCTCTTAACTACGGATTTTCTCATACAATATTGTACCGCCTACATCTTAGTTAGTAGTAAACCTTTTAATAACCAGTCTGCACAAATGGGCGGGGTGTTTTATATCGTTCTTTGAAATTTACTTAGCATGGCTATGATGAACGTCGAAATCTGAGTCACAATTTTAAAGCAATATAGCACTCTGCTATCATGGTAACACCTAGTTAAGTCCATCAAGAAATTGAGATTAACTGAGATCATGAGGTCCAATCGATTAGCCAGGACAGAAGTGAAACATGCCATGTCCTAAATCTGGGCTATCATTTAAAATAATATATATGCACACGCAAATTAGGCCAAAAGGAAATATTGCTTGAATTATATCTCATATAAAGGAGTGTGCGATAGACTTACCTTCACGTGGTGCACCCTGGGCAACGTATACTCATACGGCAAAAAAGTCTATTAACTGGCAGTTGACTTCTGACTCCAAACCACCATCACCCCACTGTATGTCATATTCGACTACTTCACAGTACTCACCTCACCTTTTTCCACTTTTGTGTCTGTCTCTTTTACATCTTTGAAACTCTCTTCTGTTCCCCCTCTCCCTCTCGACTTGTTTCACTTTGATGTTCCTCCTCCTCTGTGAAGCCTGAAGTCAACTAAAGGGCTAATGATAACTTTCACAACGCCTGCCATTTGATA